GTGTGTGTTTGTGTGTGTGTGTGTAAGTGTGTGTGTGTAAGTAAGTGTGTGTAAGTGTGTGTTCAGGATAAAGTCTTGAATAACGTTCTTGTTGGTGTTATTTAGAATTCTCCCTCTCTCCCTCCATCATCTTCCTCCACCGTTCCCGATTGATATATGCAACCTCATGACAAGGGCGCGTATTTTTATAGCATAGTCATATTTTATCATGACAAAAAATGTACACATGAACCTATAACTACTGCATTCTGATTTCCATTAAGATTCGAACCAGCTGAGAGAGGAACCACACGAATATGGAGTAAACAGGCATCGTAGAACACTGGCGCCTGATACTTTTGCATCACCTGGGAATATCGTGTACAGGTGAGTGTTATAATGAAATAATAATTGCCATTTACGAAAGATGAGCAAGATTGATATAATTTCTCGAAAGTTATGTTAGGTTTGATGCGTTGTTATTTATTGTTGGATGTGATTTCTTGCCCCTTTTCGTTCCACTGTATTTATCTTGTAAACATTACGTAAGTGATGTATGCAAACTTTTCAAAGGCCCAAAAGCAGGAGAAAAGAAAAAAAAAATCTGCACTTTGCTTAGCTTTTCAATACCGCATGAAAACGTAGTGGGTACAAGGGATAAGTATAATTGCTGGTGTATGTGAACTAATGATAAATTAAGTCTGCTGAGATAGGATACTATTTTGATTTGTACATTTTTATCCATTCATTTATTTATCTAGTCGTTTATATCATTTTTACTACTGTTGTTATTATCATTATTATCATTAGATGTATGAAGCCAACTCATTTTAGCGAAACCTTAGAATTTAGAAGGAAAAAAAAAAAATACAACATAAAGTGAATGTTGATTTACAACCAGTTAAGCAAATCGTAGAGTTTGAGTAAATGACCACCTACGTGCGAATGGATCTAGTAATACCAGCTGTGGAACTTTTGCAGTTTTTCGGCTTACTCGGTTTAGTCCCTCCTGTCCTCCTCCTCCTCGTCCTCTTCTTCTTCCTCGTCCTCGTCCTCTTCTTCTTCCTCGTCCTCGTCCTCTTCTTCTTCCTCGTCCTCGTCCTCTTCTTCTTCCTCGTCCTCGTCCTCTTCTTCTTCCTCGTCCTCTTCTTCTTCCTCGTCCTCGTCCTCTTCTTCTTCCTCGTCCTCGTCCTCTTCTTCCTCGTCCTCGTCCTCTTCTTCTTCCTCGTCCTCTTCTTCTTCCTCGTCCTCGTCCTCTTCTTCTTCCTCGTCCTCGTCCTCTTCTTCTTCCTCGTCCTCGTCCTCTTCTTCTTCCTCGTCCTCGTCCTCTTCTTCTTCCTCGTCCTCGTCCTCTTCTTCTTCCTCGTCCTCGTCCTCTTCTTCTTCCTCGTCCTCGTCCTCTTCTTCTTCCTCGTCCTCGTCCTCTTCTTCCTCCTCGTCCTCGTCCTCTTCTTCCTCGTCCTCGTCCTCTTCTTCCTCGTCCTCGTCCTCTTCTTCTTCCTCGTCCTCGTCCTCTTCTTCTTCCTCGTCCTCTTCTTCTTCCTCGTCCTCGTCCTCTTCTTCTTCCTCGTCCTCGTCCTCTTCTTCTTCCTCGTCCTCGTCCTCTTCTTCTTCCTCGTCCTCGTCCTCTTCTTCTTCCTCGTCCTCGTCCTCTTCTTCTTCCTCGTCCTCGTCCTCTTCTTCTTCCTCGTCCTCGTCCTCTTCTTCTTCCTCGTCCTCGTCCTCTTCTTCTTCCTCGTCCTCTTCTTCTTCCTCGTCCTCGTCCTCGTCCTCTTCTTCCTCGTCCTCTTCTTCTTCCTCGTCCTCGTCCTCTTCTTCTTCCTCGTCCTCGTCCTCTTCTTCTTCCTCGTCCTCTTCTTCTTCCTCGTCCTCGTCCTCGTCCTCTTCTTCCTCGTCCTCTTCTTCTTCCTCGTCCTCGTCCTCTTATTCTTCCTCGTCCTCGTCCTCTTATTCTTCCTCGTCCTCGTCCTCTTCTTCTTCCTCGTCCTCGTCCTCTTCTTCTTCCTCGTCCTCGTCCTCTTCTTCTTCCTCGTCCTCGTCCTCTTCTTCTTCCTCGTCCTCGTCCTCTTATTCTTCCTCGTCCTCGTCCTCTTATTCTTCCTCGTCCTCGTCCTCTTCTTCTTCCTCGTCCTCGTCCTCTTCTTCTTCTTCCTCGTCCTCGTCCTCTTCTTCTTCCTCGTCCTCGTCCTCTTCTTCTTCCTCGTCCTCGTCCTCTTCTTCTTCCTCGTCCTCGTCCTCTTATTCTTCCTCGTCCTCGTCCTCTTATTCTTCCTCGTCCTCGTCCTCTTATTCTTCCTCGTCCTCGTCCTCGTCCTCTTATTCTTCCTCGTCCTCGTCCTCGTCCTCTTATTCTTCCTCGTCCTCGTCCTCTTATTCTTCCTCGTCCTCGTCCTCTTATTCTTCCTCGTCCTCGTCCTCTTATTCTTCCTCGTCCTCGTCCTCGTCCTCTTATTCTTCCTCGTCCTTGTCCTCGTCCTCTTATTCTTCCTCGTCCTCGTCCTCGTCCTCTTATTCTTCCTCGTCCTCGTCCTCGTCCTCTTATTCTTCCTCGTCCTCGTCCTCGTCCTCTTATTCTTCCTCGTCCTCGTCCTCGTCCTCTTATTCTTCCTCGTCCTCGTCCTCTTATTCTTCCTCGTCCTCGTCCTCTTATTCTTCCTCGTCCTCGTCCTCTTATTCTTCCTCGTCCTCGTCCTCTTATTCTTCCTCGTCCTCGTCCTCTTATTCTTCCTCGTCCTCGTCCTCTTATTCTTCCTCGTCCTCTTATTCTTCCTCGTCCTCGTCCTCGTCCTCTTATTCTTCCTCGTCCTCGTCCTCGTCCTCTTATTCTTCCTCGTCCTCGTCCTCGTCCTCTTATTCTTCCTCGTCCTCGTCCTCGTCCTCTTATTCTTCCTCGTCCTCGTCCTCGTCCTCTTATTCTTCCTCGTCCTCTTATTCTTCCTCGTCCTCGTCCTCGTCCTCTTATTCTTCCTCGTCCTCGTCCTCTTATTCTTCCTCGTCCTCGTCCTCTTATTCTTCCTCGTCCTCGTCCTCGTCCTCTTATTCTTCCTCGTCCTCGTCCTCGTCCTCTTATTCTTCCTCGTCCTCTTATTCTTCCTCGTCCTCGTCCTCGTCCTCGTCCTCTTATTCTTCCTCGTCCTCGTCCTCGTCCTCTTATTCTTCCTCGTCCTCGTCCTCGTCCTCTTATTCTTCCTCGTCCTCGTCCTCTTATTCTTCCTCGTCCTCGTCCTCTTATTCTTCCTCGTCCTCGTCGTCTTCTTCTTCCTCGTCCTCGTCCTCTTCTTCTTCCTCGTCCTCGTCCTCTTTCTCCTTCCCTCTTTCCTTCCCCATTGCTCGTTCCTCCCTCCCTCCCTCTTTCCTTCCCCATTGCTCGTTCCTCCCTCCCTCCCTCTTTCCTTCCCCATTGCTTGTCCCTCCCTCTTTCCTTCCTCATTGCCCCTCCCTCCCACCCCACCCCACCCCCGCATAACTGACTTCCCCCCCCCCCCCCCCGTCTCCCCCAGCGTGGTCGGCTTCATCATGGCCGGGTCGCTCCTCTTCGTCAACCTGTTCGACCCCTTCCGCGTCGCCGTCATCCATTTCTTCGACGCCGCCTTCGGGCCGAGGACGGAGAGGCGGCGAAAGCGGGAGGCGGGGGCGGCGGCGGCGGCGCACAAGGGCCTCGAAGTTTACGTGGCCGAGGCCTTCGATACCCTGGTGGCTTCCGTGGACAAGCTGGAAGCCCTGGCCGGCAGCGTGGAGGAGTAGCGGCAGCAGCAGCGCGAGGAAGGTTATTTTATTTATTATATTATTATTATATATTTTTTTTATTTTTTGTTTTGTTTTGTTTTGTTAGTGGGTTTTTTTTGTCCGTCTCCCCCGAAGCTTTGCGTGGGGGATCGGATGCTGCAATAAAGGTTTTTTTTTTCGAAGATATGCGTTTGTGTTCTTGTTTCCTTTATTTATCCTGTCCAGCGTTTAATAAGGAAAGTATAGTTTGATACGAAAATTATATTTGGTCGATGTGACACGAAAATTGTTCGTAGTCGATATGAAGTTCTTTAAGTGATAATCATGATACTGATAATATATGGCATAGAGCATCATAATTGCATTTTACTTTCCGTGAGCATTTTGGCTGATAATAGACAATGAAGGAGTTGATTCTAATATTTCACATTCAAAAAAAAAGTATGTAGACATATGTAATATATCATACTATAATATCAATTACAATTAATAGTACAAAAATACAGATTCAGAACAGATTTGGAACAAATGTATAATGATGAAGAGAGGAGAAACCAGTTTAACCACAATGGGGAAAATACCCAAACTAGCAACATTACAAAAATATCGAAAGTCGAGGCTCATTCTTGAATATGATTTTGAAACTTGATGTAGACTTTATTTAGCATATTTATTTTGTTTTTTAACCTTTAACCACTGATATAGAATTGCAGTTTGTAGGTCCAATTTTCCCGAAAAACACGTCGCGTTCTATTTAACCTTTCCCTTGACACCAAGCTATTCAAACACTATTTCAAAAAGTGTTTTCTGACAGCTAGCCACCATCATATGCATACATCCTAACAACATGCAACGCCATTTCGAAGTTTGTTCCTGTCCTCCCGTACCCGCCTTGAGGCCCACACAAGCGGGTATGGTTGGTGGCGCACTAGCCGGTACGAATAGAGATGACGTTGGACAAACTACTCGTTAAACAAGCAGTTTCGTCGCTGTTTTCTAGCCTGTGGCGTCGGTCATGCAAGCTTGTGTGGACAGGCCTTTAGCTGCTTTTGGTAAAGAGTTATCTACACGAGCGCCCCCCCCCCCAATCCTAGCCCGTTGTTGTCGTGGGGGCTTAGGAAGCGGAGACTGGGACCCAATGATGGGGAACTCCCCAACTAATTTTGCATGGTCTTTTTCCCTTCCTACTTTTTCGTTTGTCCCTTCACCAATCCGTTCTACTATCCACCTCCTAAGGTGTGAGAGCCGTGCTGAAAGGATGAAAGGCTGACTTTGTGCCAATCCTGAACGGCCTGAGGGAGCCATAGGCACGGTATTCCCCTGCTTAGTTGCCTAGCCCTTACCCCTCAAGGTGACCCTGAGGGGTGGACTGTTTTTATCCCCAACATAATCCAGGCTTACCATGGCCAATTATGAAGACGTAACTCCTCTATTAGGGGCAATGAGGCTTGCCCCTTTATCAAATAGCCCCAGCAATTCAAACCCTCCCGATTCCCTGACCCCAGGCTCTCCTTTGACCACGGCTCCGAATACTGCAACAACTACCCCCTCATCAATGCCTACTAGGACAGTAGTCAACAATCAACCCCCAAGAGACATTTCCACTCTCCCAACATGCTCAACTTCAACACCTACCTCCACAACCTTCAACATCAACTACCCCATCCTCCCTTATTAATACCTTACAGCCTTATTGCCCATCTCTCCATAACACTACCTCCCTCAACACTACTCCATCTGCGTCACGCCCCCGCCCTTCTACTACCCTAATCTCTACAACAATCTTAAATACTCTATTTAGCGCAGCCAAATGGGACCGATTTTTCGTGATCCCTCCCACAGCTCCCTACTCTGACAACACCCTTCTCTTCCAACAATGTCTCCAAAAACAAGTAGGCAAAGTCTCTTTCCATAGCCGACCCGACCGCTCCCGTCTCGTCACAGTAACCTCTGAATCCCAAGCTATAGCATTAACAAAACTAACTGATCTATATGGTAACCCCATCCTTGCAGAACCCCATCCAACCCTCAATATTTGCACCGGAACTGTTTCAATCTCCCCAGCAAATTGCCCAATCTATGACAAAGATTGGTCAGATTGTGGAGAAGACTTACTCGCCTGTCTCACAGACTATGATGCGACATCAGTACAATGCTACTCCATTCCCCTCAGAGGTCATCGAAAGAAACCCACTAACATTGCCAAAATTACCTTCCGTAGACATGACCTTCCCTTTAACGTTTACATAGGTGGAGAATCCCTCCCTGTCCGTCCATACCAACCTCCTCCACGTCAGTGCCAAAATTATTGGCGTCTAGGACACCCAGCTAAACGTTACCGTTCCACAGCCAGATGCCCACTATGTGCCCAACCTGGCCATACTCGATCAAACTCCTCTGCACAATCACGCACATGTGCCAACTGTGGCGGTCCCTATAATGTATTTTATAGGGGCTGTCCCACCTACAAATTTGAGTCTGAGGTAGCAACTCTCAGATTCAAACTTGGACTCACACTACGTGAAGCCAGACAGGAAGCACGTCGACGTGGTTTCTCTCTTACTCCTTACTCCAGTAATATTGTTCATTCTCTCTCTCCCCTCTCTCTCTCTCCCCTCTCTCTCTCTCTCTCATCTCTCTCTCTCTCTCTCTCCCCTCTCTCTCTCTCTCCCCTCTCTCTCTCTCTCCTCTCTCTCTCTCTCTCCTCTCTCTCTCTCTCTCCCCTCTCTCTCTCTCTCCTCTCTCTCTCTCTCTCCGCTCTCTCTCTCTCTCTCTCCTCTGTCTCTCTCTTTTTTTTTTTTTTTTTTTTTTTTTTTACCTTTATTTATAGTCATACAGATATACATATAGGTTGAAACCCGTTTGTTTAAAAGTAAGAACAAAGAAAAAACATTCCGGTTTCTTTTTGCAGGTTAAAAGTTACCTATCTAAAGGAGCTTATTTGAAAACCCAACCAATTTTTCATAAACAATAAACGTTAATTTATTAAGCTAACACAGACTTTAAAACTTAATTAATCCATAATAAGGTTATATACAATGTTTTCTTATGTGTCGCCATGAGGGTGTAGGAGGTTAAGAGGTGATGGCTGGCTCGACCGCCATCGGTGAGCCGCTGCCTTCACTTGTTATGTTGTCATTTCGGCGACATCGATGTTGGATGTGAATGCATTCCACAGACGTGCTGCTCTGGCAGAGAAGGTGCGCTGATGCTGGCTAGACCGCGACCCCGGAACTTCCACCAGTAGCCGATTAGAGTGTACCGTCCTCGTACTTCTCTCTCGGCCGTGGGGTGGGAGACGGAGGCTGCTTAGATGAGGCACCTTCTGCACCTGAGCCTTGTGGAGCACCGTTAGAGCCCCGACGTCACGACGATGTTCCAGCGCGTCGATGTGGGGAAGATTGGTGGCTTCCTGGATAAGCCTGAGAGCCCGTTTTTCTATTTTATCCAGCCGGTTGAGGCTGGTGGCCGCAGTAGACGACCATGCCAACGAGGCATATTCTAGGTGTGGTCTGATCTGGGACTTGTATAGCGTGAGAATTCCCTGAGGATTCAGGAGATGAGATATGCGTTGAAGGGCTGTCACCTTCAGGGAAGCTGTTTTGCAAATCCTGCTGACGTGTCTGTTAAATCTTAGACCACTGTCTATGTCAATACCGAGGACTGAGATCAAGTCCTCGAGTGGGAGGGCGGTGTTGTTCATTAAGATTGTGTCTTTCATGACGCCTGATGCAGCTGGAGAGCGGGATATAACCATTGCCTGGGTCTTGTTGGGGGCAAATCTTATTTGCCATT